TGCACCTTGTGTCTGCATTCCAGGTGTGGATTTCTAGAGCTGGTTGTTTAGCAGTCCTGGGCTTTCACTCCCTCCCCATTCTGACTCCCCTCTTCCCGCCGGGTTTTGGGCTGGGGGAGTGTTCAGGTCCTGCCTGGCCGCAGCTTTTATCTTACCCCCTTCGTGTGATGCTGAGTTCTCGCAGATGTAGATGTATCCTGGCTGTTGTACTACATCCACTGATGTCTCTTTTAGGAATAGTTGAATTTATTGTATTTTCATAAATATATATGTTTTGGGGAGGAGACTTATTCTGAACTACTCACACCACCATCTTCCCATGATCTCCTATGCCAACTGACTTTTATGAAAGACTTAAATGCTTTTCTTTTTCTTTTTTGCTGTCTCACCAATGGGTCTCGTGCTGTGTACCTGGTGCCCATGGCAGCCATGCTCCGAGATGGCTGGGGGGCTGCCACAGCCTGGGGGGCACTGAGCTGTGAGCCCCGAGATTGCATTCGCATGCCATCTTCCGGCAACTTCGTAACACTTGCCGCCAGAGCACAATGTTCGCCTCGCCTCTGGCCAAGGTGCGCTAGCGAAGGGAGTCTAGCAGAGCCACAGACGCAGCTTAATGGACAGACCCTGCTGCCCTCTCCTCATGGGAAATTTTTCTCAGCAAGCTCCACCCCCTGCAGCCGCCCACCCACCCACCTGGCCTTTCTCGCAGGGCCCGCCCGCCATGCTGACTCCCTGGGCCTGCCGTGATCCCGTTCACCCCTCAGTCCCCACTCCTTTCCTCCGATCCCTCTGGAGGCCTTCCCGTCGGTAAGAGACGCCGACCCTCCCCAGACCGAGGACCTGACTTTGAAACCTGTTTTTTTAAAGTCCTAAGTGGGTTCTGTGTTGTTTTCACCTCTTTAAACACCGTGGTGCACGTCAACCGTGTGCTGCCTCCCTTTAGCCTTTGCTATGAGATGGGCTGCCAGAACTGTTCCCTTCTTTCAGTTCTTTTTTGTTGTTCGTTTTTCTATTCCTTTTATCATTTTTTTATTTTTGGTATCATCAGTGTACAGTTACATGAGCAACATTGTGGTTACTAGACTCCCCCCATTATCAAATACCCCATTATAGTCACTGTCCATCAGCGTAGTAAGATGCTATAGAATCACTACTTGTTTCCTCTGGGTTACACTGCCTTCCCCATGCCCCACCCCCCACATCATGTGTGCTGATCCCCTTACTCCCCTTCTCCCTCCCTTCCCACCCACCAGCCCCAGTCCCTTTCCCTTTGGTAACTGTTAGTCCATTCTCGGATTCTGTGAGTCTGCTGCTGTTTTGTGCCTTCAGTTTTTTCTTTGTTCTTTTGCTCTACAGATGAGTGAAATCATTTGATACTTGTCTGTCTCTGTCTGCCTTATTTCACTGAGAATAAGGCTCTCTAGTCCCATCCATGTTGTTGCAAATCCTTCTTTCAGTACTGAAAGCTCTGAACTCTAATACAGCATGGGTTTAGCAGAATACTTGGTAATTCACTTAAAATATCCCTACTGCAGGTGAAAATATCTTCTGTCTTTAAAGCATAGTAGTGTAATAGGTTTTGTTACTTTTTTTCTTTGGACCAATAAATTGTATCAGCTGAGCTCAAAGAGGTGTACCCAGGAAACCTCCTTGATGGATATAACTTGACTGATAAAGATGATTAGATTAAAATGACTTGTGTTTTCCTTTGGTCCCAGTAGCTGAGTGATAACAACAAAATTCAAAACTTCAGTGACAACACTAGATTCTTGATAAGTACATTTATTTGAAAAGGTGAACATTCAGGTTTTTAAAATGTTTGACTTTGGGTGTATATTTCTGATGATGCAGCATAAAAGATTGAAGGATTCTTGTAAAATTTGTCCCTGCACTTCCTTACACACACTTTTCTTCCACTGTAGTTTTACTTCTGTGGGCAGGTTTTCAATTTCCCCCTCAAAGTTGAATCCATTGTAGGCACAGCTGTTAAGTACCTGCCACTTTCTGCCCTGAGATGGGATGGGAGAAAGCTGCCATAAAAATGCTGTTTTGTGTTGCTTAGAGGCTTAAGCTCTCTGGAAAATAACTGACCCCACATGGTTCTTAAGTACTTTAAATTTTCTGTCATTCTTCTAAGCTGCTTTGATTCCATAATGTGTCTCCCATTCTCCATGACTGTGGGACTTCACCACACCAGTTTGTCATAAACACCTCGAAGATGATACCCAATCCAGCAGGCCCAGTATTCCTGTGTGGGGGTGCTGCCCACAGTGTGCTGGAATGGGGGTCACAAGAAGCCTGTGCCATCTTCTCATAATTCTGGAGTGGTTTGCGGGCCCTCGACAGTGCAGATTGCTCCTCCCGGGAGCAACCTGGTGCATTTTCCAATGTGAGCATTGCTGCAGGAAAAGACTCCCAGGGTGTCCACTTTATTCTCCTACAGTTGCTCATCTGACAGAATAACTGTAACTCAAAGGAAAGGAGGAAGCTGCTTATATGAAGGAGAATCTCACATTCTAGTTTTTGAGCAGCTTTTTATTTTTGGGGGTTTTTCCTAAGACTGTAGCTTTCACAGCTAAGGGTGATTTGTGTGAGGGTATAATTACCCTTTTGCTTGCTGGTTAGCTTCTGATTTCCAGTGACTGAAGTCCATGCTATGTAGCATGATAATCAGAGTATCTTAATGCTAGAATCCTGTTTTCTGTTACAGAGCAACACAGACCACCAGTTCAACACTGTCCTCACCCTCAAGTAATGCCCCAGACCCATGTGCAAAGGACGCTGTTCTGAGGGCCCTCGAACAGAAGAAGAAAAGGACAGTGCAGGAGGAGGAAGACCAAATACCTGCTGCTGGTCAGGAAAATAAGAGAAGGTAACATGCCCTGCAGAGTCCTAAACGTGCCTCCCATATGGGCTCCTGGGATTTGTTGAAACAGAGATCACTCCCAAAAAGAATCAGAGGCCACCTCCTGTTTGTGAGCAGCAGGTCCCCTTCTTTGGCTTTCATGGAAGAGCTTGGTAACAAGAGCTTTACTGCTATGCCTTTCATTAGGCACAGGTTACATATATTTTGTAATATACCTTTTCCATAAGTACTAGAGAAAAGCCAACAGTTATTGGCCACATTAGCTTCATACTTCGATATAAATGTGTTAAATTTTATTTTGAGAGAATGCTGGAAGTCTTCCCCTTGTGGTGTTCAGTTATTTGGGTGACCATCAGCTTAGGTATCATTTGTGCAGAAAGAAATACTTAGCAAAGAACAGTGAAGACTGGAGTATGATAGATCTATGAGTAATGAGAGTAAAACCAGTTTTATTTGGCTTTTGAAAATGTAATGAAAATAGAGTAAACAGTCTGTTTCTTCAACGGAAAGAGAGGAAGTTGAAGGCTCTGAGTAAGCTGCAGAACTGCTTGTGGCTTTCCAAGGAGTCAGTTAAGGATTCCACTCATTTTCTTGTAATTCAATAAACTACAAGACCCACCATGTGGCAGAGCCTACTCCAGGCACTGTGGATAGAGAAGTGAGCAAGACAAGGGTCTCATGGGACTTGGGTAAGAAATCAAACAAGGTAATTATAGATTGTAAGTATATAAAGATTTTTTAAAAAGCAGTGATATAAAAGGGTAATGAGGAAGGGACAGACCTGTGTATAAGGTGGTCAAGGAAACATGCTCTGAGGAGACAGTGGACCCTACATATGAAAAATGTTCTATTTTGAAAGTATGAAGCTCATGTGACCAATAACTGTCAGCTTTTCTCTAGTACTTATGGAAAAGGTATATTACAAAATGTATGTAACCTGTGCCTAACCATTGTCCTCATCAATTAGACCAGGTCGGTCATATACTGCAGGTTCACAGCTGGCCATCTTTGATACTGTAGATGGCAAAATTGGGTAAGGAAATACTAATAAATGCAAGTGTGTCCATTGAAAGATTGATTGGAAGTAACACTGGAAGATCAGGTAATGAATACTAGGGATATAATTTACAAGTGAGCAGTCTGAGCTGATGTCAGCCAACTAAGCAGGAGTGACAGAGGGAGATGGTGTGTGGAGGTCAGAGAGAAAATTTATTATGGTCAAAACAGGTTTCTCATGTTCTCCAGGTTGGTAATTTTTCTAGACCCCAGTGAGCCTATAACTGAGGGCTCTGTATTAGCTTTCCCATAATTGGAATAAGCAGTGATTATGTGCACCATGCACAGGCCCTTATGTGTGATATGTGGAGTTCTTCTCTTACAGACTGAACGAAATGAGAGCACTGGGGGATGTGTGTAGGTGGGTTACTAAAGTGCTTTTTTGTTTTTAATTTATGGATGGTAGGATATTAAATGTGTGATTGAAGTGCTTTGGTGAGAAGTTAGCAAAAAAATTGGTACACCTGAATAGTTCAAAATGTCTTGAAGCATTTTTCTACTTTTCTTATTAGATTAGGACAGTCCTAGAATAAATTTACCTTCCTCAATATTTGAGATTTGAGGCAACCTTTTCTTGTCTAGCATGAGCCTGTGTTCCATAGAAAGAGTATAGCATCCCAGGAACATGAGAGTATGCTTTAAGAAAAAAGTCATACCATCCAATTGAGGGTTTGTGATTTGTCACAGGTGTCATGACAGCAGTGGGAGTGGACATTCAGCATTTGAGCCCGTGGTGGCCAACTGAGTCCCTGCTGCTTTTGTGCCTAAGTGAGAATCCATCTCGGTGAGATTTCCTATTTGAAAAAAGGTCATTATCAGAGTTATTGTCCTGTAAATTTTCCTCTTTGAAATCAGAGAGGAACATTTTGAGTGACTTGCCACAATAACTACTTTGTCTAATTCCTTTTACTATTTTTCATTAATATGCATAAAATATGCTAAGGCTAAGAGGGTTTGTAGATACATTGAATAACCAAGTATGTAACAAAAATATCACAAGGTTTGTGCAATGGATAACATGCAACAGTACAAAATTTAAGAAAAATGTTAGATTTCTGCATTTGAGCTTAATTATATTTGAGGAAGCATTGGCTATGAGGGAAAGAGGCTGGAAATGTGTGTGAAAAGACTTGGGGTAACTTAATTTTTAATTTGAGTCAGCACTGTGATATGGCTGCCAAGAAAGCTTAACATGCTCCTACTCTGTGCTGATAGAAGAAGAAGGACTAGGAGGAGGCAGGTCAGTGGTGGTCCTGAATGCCCTGGTCCTGTTGTCCACGGAGGGCTGTGGGTGGGCTGTGCTGCCCTGCAAGAGGAGGCAGACACAGACCGAAACTCACTGGGAGCGAGTGAAGCAGCTCAAGATGTCACGGGGTGGTGGTGGTGGGTGAGGGGGTTCTGGAGGTACAGAAGTACTAGCCCAGAGGAGAAAAACCCCAGGGGCCTAAGGAAATGAGGGAGGGAAGGAGAGTGGTCTGCAAAAAACTGAAGGACTATCACATGAAAGGAGAACAGTTGGCTTGGTTTGGCTCCAGATGGGACCCATAGGTGAAGTAGGAGAAAGAGGAAGTACGTTTTCACCCAGTGTAGGAAGAAACTGTCTGTGGTTGGTTGACATTCATCAGCCAGGAGATAGTGAGCTGTCTGTGCTGTCACAAAACTTGGAGGACTGTTCCACAGGAAAGATGTTGAGGGAATTTCTGTTTCAGTTTGAATCTTAGAAAAAGTGGTTGGGTCCTCCTAAATTTTTTTAAACAGCTTTATTGAGGTATAATTGACATAAACTGTCCCTCTTTAAAGTGTATAATTTGACAAATTTTGACATGTATCCTTATCAGAATTATTGTCCTATAAGTTTCCTCATTGAAATCAGAGAGGAACATTTTGAGTAACTTGCCACAATAACTATTTTGTCTAAATTTCACACCCATGAAACCATCACCACAGTCAAGATAATGAACATCACCATCACTGCCAGAAGTTTCCCCGTGCCCCTTGGTGAAGCCTTCAAACCTCCCTCTCACCCTGCGCCTGTTACCAGGCATCCATTGATCCCCATTCTGTCACTATAGATTTGTGTGCATTTCCTACAGTATATATGAGTAGAATCATAGGTTTAATTTTTTAAATACTTAGCTTTCCCTTTTGGACTGTGAGATATATTTAGCTGAATTAACAGGAAAATTAAGGACATTATCCTTTTTCATTACATTAGAATGATTTTGTGACCATAGATGAAGTCTTAAAACAATGCTGTTTCCTTTCAGTAGCACATCTGTGTTTTTCCCTTTTATTTCCCTTTTAGGCCTGCACCTCTGAAGAGAGGCCTCAATTCCCAGAGCTCAGACAGCCACTTGCATAAGAGATCCCACACCTCTGCTGTGAGCTCCTCAACAAGCATATGCACATGTGGCATCCCCATGTCCAGCCACAATGCCATTACCAGTTCCTACAGTTCCATTGGAGGGATCACTCAGGTACATGCTCCTGGTGGTGTAGAAGAAGTGGGTTATTTGCATTTATTAGTTGATTATGCAGTGTTTACTAGCCACCTTCTGTCAGATGCTGAGATCACCTCTAAGGTAACAGCAGTTACCAACCCTTGAATGATTGCTATAGACCAGTGGAACAAACTAGAAAGCCCAGAATGCTTATGTGGAAACCTGATACAAGACAGAGCCATTATTATAGATAAATGGACAAAGGATGAATAATTCAAAAAATGGTACTAATTTGATTTAAAAGGTATATTGAGTCTGGATTCCATTGGGTCACAAATTCATCCTGTAGGCACTGGGAATTAAAATTTTTTAAATAAGTGGTTATAATTCTTTTTAGAAAGGATGTAGTGTAGACTGGAGAATAGATCAAGTTTTGCTACCAGAATGACTTGGGTTCAAATGTTGGCTTTAACACTTAGTAGCTATAGACTCTTGAGCAGGCAAATGACTTAAACTCTCTTTTCCTCATCTATAAAGGACTGTTGTAAAGATTGAAGGTAATGTTTGGAAAGCACCCATTACAGTGCTTGTCAGTAAGTGGGCACCCAATATATAGGAGCTTGAAAAAAATAACGCATGTGTGGAGGAGGTTTTTGAGAGGAGAAAGAATTTGACATAAGTTTTCATCCATACAGAAGGCTCTTAGAGTAATATAAATGACATGTTAATGATAAATGACAAATATAGGAGATGAAGGCCCCAGCCAGGCAGTTATGGCAAATGCAGAGGACAATAGTACGAAGTCTTTATTCTGCACTAGGCCCTCTGCTGAGCACTGTACACACATTTCCTCAATCAGTGATCACAACAGACCCAATATGAGATACACAGTCAGTCATTGCTCCTCCTCACAATTTTATGTCAAATGTCATACATACACAAAAGGAAGGGAAAATATCATATGAACCTCCACGTAGCTCCAGCACTTAACTGTTTTGTCAGTCCTGTTCCGTCAACACCCCCACCCCAGATTGGTTTTGCTCTTGTGTTTTAAAGTACAAACATGTTGTTTCACCTCTGGGTACTTCAGTGTATTTTTTAAACTTTTTGAACATTAATAACCACAATACCTCTATTCCTCTGAATAATCATGACTTAATGTTAGTTATTATCACTCCAATTTGCCCTTATTACCCTGTCTTATTATAGTTACTTTGAATCAGGGACCAAAAATCAACTCATTGCATTTGGTTCACATGTCTCTTATACTCTTTTTTTTTTTTGAGCATCAAAGGTATTTAATTAATATATGTAACAAAATATCTGAAGGTAAGATTATACACTGATGGAAATAATGATTTTGACCTACTGAATAAGATAGTTGTGAAGTAGGACATATAAAATGTTCAAGGCACTGTCCCCGCGGCCGGCACTGCCGCCGCCGCCGCAGGCGCAGAGCACATGGGCTGGGTCGGCAGCCGCATGCCCTCCCCACCGGCAGGGACGTCGGGCCTCTCTTAGGCTCTTAATCTAAGATACTACTACTAAGCTTTTTTTTACACTTTTGCAAAAACTGAGTCATTTTGTTCCATAGAATTTACTACGTTCTGAATTGTGTTTTCATCATCATGGTGTCATTTTTACATGTACTCTATCCCTATTTTCCCTGTAAACGGGCAGTTGGCTCCTGAGGCTTGATTAGTTTCAAATTCAGTGATTTTGGCAGAGTATTGCATAGGTGGTGCTGTGCACTTACGATGGCATCACATGGGGAGCACGTGCTGTGTGGTTGCCTCCCTTTTGCGATGTTAATGTTGATCCCTGGGCTCAAGAGTCAGTCTGATCCTTCCATTTATTGTTCATATGAGCTTTTCAGCAGCTGATTTTAGCGGCCATTTATCACCTTTGTCTGTGTCCATTGTGGCAAAATGGTGATGTTCTAATTCTGTCCTTCCGTCTGCATTTGTTAGTTGAGGTCTGTGTAATTCTAGATAAAACATGCCCTACCTATAGGAATAAGCACTGATGCCATAGCTAACTCCAAAGGTGACCGGTGAGGTTCTTGCTGTGTTATCTTTATGAACTGATATTTTATAAATATTTCATGATCCTCAGTATATTGCAGCTAGCTACTCTTTCGGATGCAACTTTTCCAACTTTGGCCAATGGCAGCCCTTTCAAATACCGGCAATTGACTCACTTTTCAGAAGCCCCTCTTCACAAAGAAATCTTTTCTAGTCACTTGAAAAGGAGTCTTTATATACAGTGCTGGATTAGAGCCACAGAATTATGTTGAAGGTCAGATCATACGTTATTACATAGGGTTGGTCATGTGACTTGTGTTTGGCTTTTAGCTCTGGAAGAGAAGGGGTCCCAGTGCCTCACCCTTCTCCAGCCCTTTCTCATCCCTCCCGCAGACAGCAGAGAGGCCAGCGAAGAAAATAAGGCAATCCGTGATTTGCTGTGTGGATTAATGAGAGGGTAGGAAAGGAGGGAAATTGACTTGGCTCTTAGGCTTTCTGAGACTCTTATTTGGAGAATCAAAGCAGTTCACATCTAAAGGGCAGAGACGGTGCCACCCTGAATTCCTCTCGTCTCTTGCAGTTGTCACATACTGACCACACTGGCCTCTGCTCCCCCTCATGCTGCAGCGTGAGGGGCTGGGTGTAAGGGGAAGGGCCGCACGGGACAGAGTGAACAGAGTGACTGACGGAGTGGGCAGCAGGCTTCACATTCTAGACCCCAGCTGACCCTCTAGGTTACCGACTAAAATGCCACTTTCTTAGAAGTGTGACTAGAACTCTCAGAAATTTGGCAGGTGTTATGTAAGGTTCTGAAGACTGTTTTGTGATTGTTTTAAGACAAAGGTGTCTCTGTGGCTTCTGTGAACTGCCTCCCTCCATTTCTTTAGGAATTTTCTTTTACTTCTTTTTTTTTGTTGTCTTGACACACTGAGATCTTAGTCACATTGAGATCTTAGACACGTTGAGATCTTGGCCAGTTGGTGGTTAGGAGGGTATAAGAAGTTATCCAGCACTTTTCTAAACTTAATTGTGCCTCTTACTCCTACAGAGAAGAGGAGCTTTCTCATCATTCTGGCTCCTCAGCTCCCTTGGTAAGAGACAAGGAGTCCCAGGGAGAACAGGGTAAGTTGATGAATGCATGGCATGTGTTGGCGGTAGTGTGTATGGAGGGTGCATGGACCACAACCCACTGGAAACATGTACTGAGCCTTGATTTGTGTGGGGCCTGGTAGTTACAGAGATAGATGATTCTGTCCTTCGGGCTTTATGGTCTGGTAAGGGAGAAAGGTGGCCCAGACTCATATAGCATAACCCAGGCCACCTGGAGGGGTTGCGATAAGGAAAGCCCACATAGGCTTAAGTGAAAGAAGCATGCCAGTCAGTCACTAGAAAGGTTGAAGCTGCTCTGGCTTAGCACACCTGAGCTGGTGCAGGCCTGACGGCTTCAGAACCCTCTCATCAGTAGCAGATTGTAGGGAAGGGGCTGCCGCCCTTAAAGCTGGAGAGGGCAGCCTCATTTTGGTAGGCACATGGCTGTTGGTTTGCAGCCCCATTCCTTACCTGCTCTGAGCCGTGCTTGAGTTCAGATGATTGGATTTTCCTTAGTATCCACACATTTAACCCCTGCTAGGCCAAGTTTTATCCCCTGCTGTCTGTCTTATGATCTGTGAAGAGTAGAAATACGGAGCACTTCTTTGATTTAGGGAATGAATACATTAAGAACGTGTGGTATAGATGAGTCACATTTGTTGACTCCTGAATCCCTGGCCCAGCAAGGCTTCTAGAGCACCAAATACCACCACATTTGAGGTACCAGAATTCACTTTTTCTGTTCTTCTTCCCAGAATCTGCTGGAGTGGCAGCCACCATGGCCTGTTCGCCCCTGAAGACACCTGGCCTTCTGGGCCCTCTTCGCTCTTCACAGCCAGGGCCCCTCCCAGGCCCATCCTCAGACTCCACATCCAAGCCGCCTGCCACGCCTGCTCCAACAACAGCCATCACCTTCAGCCAGTCCCTGCCCGGCGCCGTCCAGACAGCTGCTGGTAGCAGCACTGCCAGTTTCGGTGGCTTCAGTGGTGCCCTCACAACCTCCACCCCCATCACCTGCACTGACATTCAGCAGCACTAGCACCCCAGCCTTCAACATTCCCTTTGGTTCCGGCACTGGGCCCCCTGTCCCATCCTATCCTGAAGCCACCCCACAGCCCACATTTGGGACCACTGATGGACAGCAGATGGGGGCTGCCAAGCCAGCCCTGGCCCCCAGCTTCAGCAGCTCCTTTCCTTTGGGAAGCTCAGCAGCCCTGGCCCCACCTGCAGCTCCAGCACCGATCCCATGCCAACCAGTCTTTGGCAGCGCTGCACAGTCAGGTTTTCATGGGTTGAAACCCACAGCCTTTGTCTTTGGCACCCCCTCCAGCACCCAGGCAACCTTTGGCAGCATCACAGCTGTTTCCCCCTTTTTTGCAGCCACCACCTTGGACTTTGGAGCTACGACCCAGACCACCAGCAGCGGGACCAGTAGCTCAGTGTTTGGCAGCACCACCTCATCGCCCTTCACGTTTGGGGTGTCAGCCGGCCCTGCTGGCAGTGGGGGCTTTGGGATGAATGTGGCTGCCCCCTGCAGCAGCTCCACCACTGGGGCACTTGGCTTTGGGGCAGGACACAGTGGGACCACTGGCAGCATGGCCCCTTTTGGGGGAGGCTTGAGTCAGAACTCCCTGGGTGCAGCTGGACAGATCACACCCTTTGCCTTCAATGTGGCCAGCACGCCTCAGAACAAATCCGTGTTTGCAGGTAAGATTTGGAATGGGCTCAGTCTGCAGTGCCAGGCGCTGTTTTAAGTGTTGACACGGGACACAGTGTCCACTCTCAGAGCTGTACATTGTCGTGAAGAGACAGATGTCATCACAGATGTTCTCTGTAAACAGTGTCAGGTAGCAGTGTAAACTCATGACCGGAGGAGCTACTTAGGTCGTCAGAGGCAGCCTTTCTGAGACAATAGCAAACTGAGGCCATGGCCACAGTACCCGAGTTGGGACTAGGGACAGAGGCTGGGGGTGAGGGCGTTGCAGGCACAGGAGCAAAGGCCTGAAGGCAGAGATGAGCCTGAAGTGCTCAGGAGCAGAGAAGAGCCAGGTGTGGCCAGAGGCTTAAAAAGCAAAGTGGGATAAAATGACATTAATAAACAGGCAGAAGGGAAGATCATTCATGGCCTTTTTAAATGTTTTTGTTAAAGTACTACGGGCAATCACTATAGAATTTCAAGCAGAAGGAAGTGATTTTATTTGCCATGTGGAAGATGCATGATAAGGAGTTCTGAACCCTGATAGCTTCCATTTTCTTCACTGACCAAAAGAGCCCTTCGGAGCGGGTTAGGGGGAGATGTGTCCCAAGGAGGGCCTCTCTCAATAGTCATTTTGGAGACAGGGAGAAAACGACATGTGAGAGCCATGCTGGGTAGTTCTGAAGTCTGGGAAATTGTGGCTAGGAGTTTGAATCAAAGCTGGTCAGTACTGTTTTTTGTGTGTCTCCCCAGCAACATTCAGTCTTGAGGTGTGGACCTAAAATAAGTGGACAGAGAGTAAACCCAGCCTGGTTAAGTGGCACAGGGAGGAGGAGGGGCAGGGGACTGACTACAGGCCCCGATGAGGCAGAGGATCGGACTGGGCGTGGTGGGTGCAGTGGGCACAGGAGCAGGGACAGCACTGTGCTTGCAGCTGAGATCGGGGGGCAAGAGCAGTTCCTGGTTGTGATAAGGTGTGACCCCCCCCAGAGGTCAGGTAGGGGAGATTACATGCAAGGTCAGCACCTTGGGGGGCACCCAACCCACCTCAGGCCTAGATAGATAGATACATGTGAGAGCATCTTCCTGCAGAGCCACTGTGGAGGGCAGCCCAGCACTGGGCAGGAGGTTCCAGGAGGGCAAGTGCGCGCAGGACACCAAGTTGAAGTGAGCCCCTGGGAGGATGGAGGCTGACTCTGGAGTGGGGCCGTGGTAAATCAGAGGAGAGGGGGCAGGTAAATGGGGAGGAGACATAACATTAGTCCTGAGAGAAGGGCGGTCCACTCTGTGTCCCCCTCAGCTGTGCTTTGGTGGCCAAGGGAGTGCAGAGGTTCTACTCCTCAGGGGCCCAAAGGCAGCTCAGGGGCTTGTGCTCTGCTGCAGCTGATGGGGGAGGGGCAGGCTCACCTGGAGTACAGGGGTTAGGACTCAGTCACCCCGTGCGTTTCCTTACCGAGGGTGAGCTGGACAGTGGTGCGGGCTAAGGGATCTGTGGGGATGCGCTTGCAAGCAGACCTCTCCCCAGTTCATTACCACCTGCTTTAACACCTTCTGCTTATAGGCCTAGTTGTCACACTTTTTTGCGGTCTCTCCATTCCAGGCACATCCACATCCACCTTTGGTCAGAACACCCCTGCCCCTGGGGAGGGCTCACTGGGCAGCAGCCTCCCCTCTGGGGCGTCCTCAGCACCTGCCCAGGGCTTTGCTGGAGTTGGAACCTTTGGTAAGCTGCAAGCCTCTGTACTCAGGATGACCTGCATGTTCCTTGAAGACTGGGTGGGGTTGTTGGGGGAGCACTTGTTTATCTTCATCGGTCCTCGTCCCCACCGCAACAAAGAATTGAAAGGCAGAGACACAGTAGTGAAGCAGAGTAAAAGTTTTATTTAAAGTTACTCAGAGAGAGAACAGCACCCGGAAAAGTTGAAAAGAGAGTTTGAAGTGAAAAGGTGGGCAACCTTAGAAAGTGTGGGCAACCTCAGGGAGAGGAGCGCCCTGTAAGGTTGGGGGTTCCTATTCTCCAGGAATGTGACCAAGGGCTGGCAGGTGCAGATGAATATTTAGAGTTAACTTAACACAAGGAACATCCTGCTCTGATTTATCCCTGGGATCTGGCCTTCTTAGTCTAGGAGCATATCAAACAAGGCTTCCTGCCCAGTCTGCAAGGTGGGCTGAATTATTGTGTTTGCTAAAGAAAAAGTTAAGAATCTTACTTCTTAACTTCCTGGGTATTAAAATGCAATCTTATTTTATTTTTATTTTGGTATCATTAATCTACAATCACATCAGGAACATTATGATTACTAGACTCCCCCTTCACCAAGTCACCCCCACATACCTCATTAGTCACTGTCCATCAGCATAGAAAGATGCTGTAAAATCACTACTTGTCTTCTCTGTGTTGCACAGCCCTCCCCATGCCCCCCCCATTATACATGCTAATCATAAGGCCCCATTTCTTCTCCACCCCCTTCTCCCTCCCTTCCCACCCATCCAACCCAGACCCTTTCCCTTTGGTAACTGTTAGTCCATTCTTGGGTTCTGTGAGTCTGCTGCTGTTTTGTTCCTTCAGTTTTTTCTTCTTATGCTCCACATATGAGTGAAATCATTTGATACTTGTCTTTCTCTGCATGGCTTATTTCACTTAGCATAATACCCTCTAGCTCCATCCATGTTGTTGCAAATGGTAGGATTTGTTTTCTTCTTATGGCTGAATAATATTCCATTGGTATATGAACCACATTTTCTTTATCCATTCATTTACTGATGGACACTTAGGTTGCTTCCATTTCTTGGCTATTGTAAACAGTGTTGTGATAAACATAGGGGTGCATCTGTCTTTTTCAAACTGGGCTGCTGTATTCTTAGGGGAAATTCCTAGAAGTGGAATTCCTGGGTCAAATGGTATTTCTATTTTGAGCTTTTTGAGGAACCTCCATACTGCTTTCCACAATGGTTGAACTAATTTACATTCCCACCAGCAGTGTAGGAGGGTTCCCCTTTCTCCACAACCTCACCAACATTTGTTGTTGTCTGTGATCTTTACTGGTGTGAGGTGATATCTCATTGGGGTTTTCATTTGCATTTCTCTGATGACTAGCGATGTGAAGCACCTTTTCATGTATCTGTTGGCCATCTGAATTTCTTCTTTGGAGAAGTGTCTGTTCAGCTCCTCTGCCCATTTTTTAATTGGATTATTTGCTTTTTGTTTGTTGAGGTGCATGAGGTCTTTATATATTTTGGATGTCAACCCTTTATCAGATCTGTCATTTATGAATATATTCTCCCATACCCTTTTTGTTCTATTGGTGGTGTCCTTTGCTGTACAGAAGCTTCTCAGCTTGATATAGTCCCACTTGTTCATTTTTGCTTTTGTTTCCCTTGCCCAGGGAAATATGTTCATGAAGAAGTTGCTCATGTTTATGTCTAAGAGATTTTTCCCTATGTTTTTTTCTAAGAGTTTTATGGTTTCAGGACTTACATTCAGGTCTTTGATCCATTTTGAATTTACTTTTGTGTATGGGGTTAGACAGTGATCCAATTTCATTCTCTTACATGTTGCTGCCCAGTTTTGCCAACACCAGCTGTTGAAGAGGCTGTCATTTCCCCATTGTATGTCCATGGCTACTTTATTGTATATTAATTGACCATATATGTTTGGGTTAATGTCTGGAGACTCTATTCTGTTCCACTGGTCTGTGGCTCTGTTCTTGTGCCAGTACCAAATTGTCTTGATTACTGTGGCTTTGTAGTAGAGCTTGAAGTTGGGGAGCAGACACCCCCATTTTATCCTTCCTTCTCAGGATTGCTTTGGCTACTCGGGATCTTTGGTGGTTCCACATGAATTTTAGAACTATTTGTTCCAGTTTGTTGAAGAATGCTGTTGGAAATTTGATAGGGATTGCATTGAATCTGTAGATTGCTTTGGGCAGGATGGCCATTTTGACAATATTAATTATTCCTAGCCTAGAGCATGGAATGAGTCTCCATTTGTTAGTGTCCTCTTTAATTTCTGTTAAGAGTGTCTTGTAGTTTTCAGGGTATAGGTTTTTCACTTCCTTGTTTAAGTTTATTCCTAGGTATTTTATTCTTTTTGATGTAATTGTGAATGGAATTGTTCTCCTGATTTCTCTATTAGTTCATTGTTGGTGTATAGGAAAGCCTCAGATTTCTGTGTATTAATTTTGTATCCTGCAACTTTGCTGTATTCTGATACTAGTTCTAGTAGTTTTGGAGTGGAGTCTTTAGGGTTTTTTATGCACAATATCATGTCATCTGCCAATAGTGACAGTTTGACTTCTTTACCAATCGGGATTCCTTGATTTTCTTTGTTTTGTCTAATTGCCATGGCTAGAACCTCCAGTACTATGTTGAATAACAGTGGAGAGAGTGGGCATCCCTGTCTTGTTCCCGATCTTAGAGGGAAAAGCTTTCAGCTTCTCGCTGTTCAGTATGATGTTGGCTGTGGGTTTATCGTATATGGCCTTTATTATGTTGAGGTACTTGCCCTCTATACTCATTTTGTTGAGAGTTTTTGTCATGAATGGATGTTGAATTTTGTTGAATGCCTTTTCAGTGTCTCTGGAGATGATCATGTGATTTTTGTCCTTTTTATTTGGTAGATGATGTTGATGGATTTTGAATGTTGTACCATCCTTGTATCCCTGAGATGAATCCCACTTGGTCATAGTGTATGATCCTCTTGATGTATTTTTGGATTTGGTTTGCTAATATTTTGTTGAGTATTTCTGCATCTATGTTCATCAGGGATATTGGTCTGTAGTTTTCTTTTTTGGTGGGGTCTCTGCCTGGTTTTGGTATTAGGGTGATGCTGGCTTCATAGAAAGAGTCTGGAAGTATTCCCTCCTCTTCTATTTCCTTGAAAAACTTTAAGGAGAATGGGTATTATGTCTTCTCTGTATGTCTGATAAAACTCCGCGGTAAATCCATCTGGCCCAGGAGTTTTGCTCTTGGGTAGTTTTTTGATTACTGCTTCAATTTTGTTGCTAGTAATTGGTCTGTTTAGATTTTCTGTTCCTTCCTTGGTCAGTCTTGGAAGGTTGTATTATTCTGGGAAGTTGTCCATTTTTTCTAGGTTTTTCAGCTTGTTAGCGTATTGTTTTTTGTAGATACAATCTTATTTTTAAGATGGAATCCTTCCTGCCTGTTACTATGTTGTTTATGCTGAGCTTGCTAGCCATTATTAATTGACCACATTGCAAACTACTTGATTTGGGCCAAAGGAGAATAGAAAACACCATATAGGTAAAGTTAGAAAAATAAGCTGGGCCTACATGATTAACACAATAAACCCATGGGCTCTGCTGAGGTACCCTCCTTTCTCTGGGGAATATTCAAACATACCAGGCCAAGTTCCTCCTGGCTTTTTGAGCTTTAACTGATTGACTCTGGGTCTTTTTTAGTGGGCTTTTTTCCTGGCCTTACTCCTTTTCCATCCCGCTCATATCTATTTTCCTGCTTAACAGCATGGGGTCCCTTCCCCTCTGGGAGAAAACAGGCTCATAAGCACAAGAAAGATGTGAAGTCGCTGGCAGTCCAGCTCAGCCGTTTGCAGATAGGCAGCAGAGCTCGGAGAGGAGCTGTTTCTGGCAGAACTTTCCCCTCACAACTGGGAAGTCAGGTAAAAATGCCTTCCTGGGCCTCCCGCCTCCCAAGGAACTCAGCCTGGAAAGCCCTGTTGAAGCACCCGGTGTTCTCTGGCCTGGCCCTGCACAGGATAGGACCCAGTGAAGCAGTCTCTCGTAGTAGCTGCCCTGATGAGGCCCTGTTGACTTTCGAGGATCGCCGGCCGCATCCTTTTCCATTGGTGCAGGATCCAGGACCCCAGGGGCCTGACAGCAAATGCAGGCCCGGAGGCAGCACATCCACAAGTAGCCTCCATCCCTTCCCCCGCCCCCACCCCCACCCCCCCAACCTCCACCGCCAACCCCACTACCCCTACCCCCACCCCCACCCCACACCTGACTCCTACCCAGATTTAGACTTCACCTCCTGCTGGGAAGAGCCTCTGACAGGTTCCATAAGGCAAACTGACTGCAGCACATCTCTGGCTTCAGCCTGCAGTGAGGGAGGGGCAGCCCTGGAGGCCATTGCCCTCTCCTGGAGGAAGCAGTGCCTCAGGCTTTTTGCAGGAGGGGAGGCAGAGCAGAAGCCTGATTGATACCTTTCTTTACTTGAATGGTTCCACTGGTGAGGCTGGACAGAATCCAAGAAACATCTGTAATACGGTTCAGTTTACTTCCCCAACTTGTTTAGTGTATAAGCTTCATCATGTTAGGGTCTAGGACTCCGGGGTTTCCCAGAGAACAAGACACACGGACACGGAGATGAAAATCCAAGCAAAGTCTTTATTCATCCAGCAAGCTCGGGTCGACAGCACCTCCCCTGACACACAGGCCGAGTCCGAGCTGCCAACCCCGAAGCAACTTTGGGTATTGATTATATAGGATCTTCACAGCAGTTACATCAAAGCCCGCGCAGTTCTACAACTAATAGGTTTAAAACACACTCTATATTGTAACCAATGGGAAACATTGTAACCTTTTTAGGGAATGCGCCAGTTGTTTGCCCGCTTCAATTGTTATCTCTTGCTTACCCAAGCATGTCTATGTGACTTATCACGGGTTACATCCCCAGGCGTTCCCAGGCTGTTGCCCACTTCTAGTTATCTAACTTAGGGTAGGCGCATTTCTCAGAAGCCTCGGGTAATTTACACAAGAAAAGACTGGGTGGCTCTTGCTCTAGGCAGTCAGGTTAAGTGTCATTAGTTCTTTTTCCTGACTTGATGCTCTCTGCACTCCGTTACAATCAGGCGGCCTCCCTCTCCCCACCTGCCAGAGCCGTCTTCGCTGGAGGGTGGCGGGTCCAGCACTGGCCCGCCTGCAGCAGCTCTGGTGTGCATCTGATGGGGTCGGGAAAGTGGGTTATCCCTAAAGCTTTACCGTGCTTGGCCAGGAACTGGTTCTCCTCTGGTCCCTTAAGGGGATTTTTGTTTCCCCATTTCTTGCTGCTTTGCCCCTCACTGGGTCCTTGCAGGATCTCTTTTTAAATGACCTTGAATCTGGCTTTGCCTTGGAGTCCCCTGAGTGGTGCCACTTACTCTGTTCTGCTTCCTCCTGCAAGTCTGAGGCAGTGTTTTGTTCCCAACCCTCTGCCAATTTGGCCCCTAAAAGCTTGGTGGCTCAAGACTGTTAGCCTGGCAGATCCTGGGGCAATGCCTCGATCCAAGGAGGGAAGCTCTTGGGGCAGGCAGGGTGCCCACCGCCACTTTCAGCTGCCACCTGGTCCACCTTGCCACTGGCCTCACCAGGCTCAGCTGCCTCTCAGGATTGAATGTGTAAAGCTTTGTCCTGTTACTTTGACACTGAAGTCTATCGCTCTTTGAATCGAGTTTGGAGGAAGAATCAAATTGTATGAGTGGTGGCATGCTGGTAATGCCAGACTTAACTGTTTCAAGTTTCTGGGGCCTAGAATTGAATGTGAAAAGTAGCACCACTTTACAGCTATTAAATGGTGTTTGACTTTAAGGGCTGGCAGCCCAAGAGCATGGGGCCAAGGGGAAGAAAAGACCTCTTCTCTCAGCTGTTGCTCCCACCTACCTGAACTCACTGTAGGCCAGATTGCCCCGAGTATGTGTTAGAAAAACCACACTTACAAATTCTAAGTTTTCTTCCCTGCAGGGCCTCCAGCCCTTCCCCATTCTTCCATCATTTCAAAACCACACATCCTGGGCCCAGGAGCCATGCTGCCATGCCTGACGTCTTTGGGAGAAGTATGAATGCATATGTCTAAATTTTAAAAAGAATATTTAAACATTTTTTTAACAATAAATATTTTTGTATTTAAGCTAAATTGCCTTTTAAATTCCTTCAAGCATGGTTCATTGACGTGGTAAAGTATAAATGCAATTGACTAGGAATTAGCTATACAGTTAAGTTATGCTCAAATGTTGTCCCTGGCAGCTTTCCTGAGGGACTAGAGCTCCTGTGGAGACACATAAAGTGTCATTCTTACTTTATAATGAAGTGTAGATGTAACTAGTCTCCCCCGCACCCACTGTGTGACTCAGGTGGACTGCTTTGTCATGGGGACTCCTCCTCCCACCCCCACGGACCATACATACATACTTAAAGACTCTGGCACAGAGGAGAGGCATGAATCTCAAGTCCCAAATACCCAGAGAAGTCGGAGTGGTGGGAGTGGGGTACAACTCTAGCCATCAAGCTTCTAGTTATCGCCTACATAAGGCAGAGCCTCTTAGTTTAGGGCTCGGAGCTACCTTACCTCGGTCCGCAGGAAGGATATCTGGTCCAGGAGCTGCCAGGAAAGGGTGTCCTGGTCCAACCTGAGTGTGTGTGTGTGTGTGTGTGTGTACATGTGTGTGCACTGGACAGGAATGGGAGGCTGGGATTTTCCTTTAAAAACTTAATTCCTGTGAGTCTAGGTGGAATTTTTAGTATGAATGTGACATTTTCCTCCTTCCTTATGTCATTAATAATAAAAAAACTGTGACCTATTGTGGACCATGTCTTTTTATTTCTGCGGGTAGCTGAATTCTCTCAGCAGCATGAATATGACCCAGGGAAGGGACCCAACAGACAAAGAAATCCATGTCTCTCCAGCTTGAGAAACAGGGTTACCAGTTCCTTCCTGTACCAATAAAAAGGACATACCCTTTCAAAACAAAAGTGCTGCCTGGGACCAAGGACCCAGGGTTAAACTGAGGGGAGAAGTGGCCTCATCCCTCCCCACAAAGACTTGGCTCTGAGCACCTGCTATGTGCAGGGTGGTGTGCTCGGAGCGGCCGCTGCTTTTTGCCACCTCTTCTTTCTCTTTGGGGCTGGACTGGGTGGAAGTTCTGGAGCCAGTGCCTCAGACTCTGAGACTGAGCTGGAAGAAAAGTCCTCAGATGAGATGTGTCCCTATCTCCCAGCATGTTCAGAGCAGCCCCCTTCTCACTCACCTCAGCATGTCTACCCGTTCAAGAACAGCAACGAAGAAGCCACCAGTGAGCGTGGTCTCAGGAGAGGCCCACAGGCAGTGCTCGGCACCGGGGAAAGTGCTAAGGCATCGATGGGGCCAGGAGGGGAGAGCAGGAGCCAGCCTGAGGAGAAGTGACAGGCTTCTGGGTAAAGGGAGCAGCTCCCTCCCCAAGACCCTGGGTGAGCCCCACTACCTGAAGGTTCCCGGGCTCTGCTGCAAGGCCTCTTGTACCACATCTTAATTCTCCTCTTGGCAAAGGGAACATGTGGAGTAGACAAGGCTCCTTGCACTCAGAGCGTGGCACAGAGCTTGCTGCTGGAACCCTGCCAGGGCACACAAGCGTTCCTGGCTGGGGGTGCCTGCCCCGGGCTCCTCCAGCTGTCTGCTCAGCCTACCTAAGGAATGGGGTTCTCAGTACAGATTGCCTTACTTCATACTGGAATCCCCACTTACTGCGCGAGAACACGCGCCTATGTGATGATGGAGTCAGAACTAAACCCAAGGCCCAAACGAACTGCTGCCCCTTCCACTCAGGTTGCTCTGCTCCGGGTTCCTCACCCCACTTTCTCCACATCTCACCAGAGCCACTGCAGGAAGGATCCAGCAGGATGTACTGGACCTGACAATAGCGCTGGTCTGAGGGTGAAACTGCCAAGAAGTCCTTCTCAGCTAGCTCACAGCAAGAGACTCCAGCCCGGGCCAGCAGAGTAGCCATAGATGCCACCCGCTTCGCATCCAGGCCAAAGACAAAGATCTTCCTGGGGAAGAGGGCAGACTTGAGGTGCACAGAGAATTCATGGAGCATCTAAGGGCCCACAGCTCATAGATGACATGTACATTAAGTCAAGATACAGAAAATAGTCACCTGGCCTGTGAGGGTCAGTGGTTAGAGGTACCTGGCCTGGAGCCTCTGCTCCAAGGGCTATGGGATTCACATCTCACACCTGCGACCCACGGGGAAGCTTAGTTTGGGGCCGTGGCACAAGCTGCCCCAGGCCCAGAGGAAATGTTTAAGGAAAATCTTCCTTTCAGCCTTTACCAATCCACTGGAATAGAGTTCATTTCTTCTTACAAAGTACAGGATCAGACCCCATCCCCTTCCTGAATGACCGTGGCACTCACCCCTGGTTCTTCAGAAGAGCAGCCAAGTGACTGGCTTTATTGCCAGGGGCAGCACATGCATCGATGACATGGGCGCCCGGGGGTGGAGCCAGTAGCATGGTGGGCAGACAGCTGGCCTGGCAGGGAAGCGCACAGCGGCGGGGTGAGCAGAGTTCCCAGGCGGCCGCTCCCCCACACGTTCCTCCCCTTGCCATCCATTTTCCCTACCTTGTCTTGCAGAATGAGGTGACCGGCTTGGTACAGTGGATGTTCGTGTAGATCTGTCTGGACAGGAAACACAAGCAGCTCTGGCAACAAGGGATCCAGAAGAAAACGCTTCCCTTTGAGGGCCCTTAGCTCCTTGAGGCTACCAGGGAGTAAGAACCATTCGTTCAACATTTTCTGCCTTCATGCCAGGCCGGACATTTTACATGTCACCTCACTTTATTCATTCCTGCAACAGGTGTTTATAACTGCTATGAAAAAATAAGCAGGGATCAGAGAGAGGCAGCAGCTGGGAGAACGGGTTCTCAGGCCCACCTGAGGGCTGAGGGTCCCACCTGCACCCATCACCAGCAGCAGGAATGTAAGCAAGTGACTTCATCCCCACCTCAGGGAGGATTGGATGAGCTAACACCGGCCAAATACTTAAAAGATATCTGGCACTAATTTGGCACCCAATGTCAGCCAGCACTGTTAAAGCATAACCTCTGGGAAGGGTTACTTTTCATGGTGCAGGGGAGGAGATCGCTGAGCAGATTCCTAGTGGGTGCAGAGGTTGTAACCCTATGAGCTGAGGTGAAAGTTAATTCACTAGTCTCTACAAAGGCGTCTGGTCACTCCCCCTGACCCATGCAGAACAGGCCTAGGAAATAGCATCTCGGTGTGGACAACTCTCAAGTGGCAGAGCTGGAATTCAAATCCAAACATAGCCATTTTCTACTCTACCACCCTGGTCTCCAAGCAACAAGCTAGAGGTGGAGGGGGAACATCTGGGAGATGGGGGAAGGGAGGGAGCAAAGGAGGCTTCCCAGAATGGCCACAGGACAGAGCAGGCGGTATGTCAGTGCAGGGACATGTGGCATAGGGAGCAGCAACTGCAGCGGGGACACCAAGTACAGAGTGCCATGGCAGATGGGCCGGAGGGGAAGCAGGGGCTCAGCACAATGGAGAGCCAAGGAAGGGCTTCAGCAGGGGGGCCACATCGATCTGGCTTCAGGTCTTTCTGCAGCCAGCCTTGGCAGGAAAGTCTGGAAGGAAGGAGATCAGTTTAGGAGAGACCTCTGCCAATCATGATAGGAAAGGAGTGCCTAAACCTAGGCAATGTGCAGAAGGACAAAGAGAAAGGAACGGATTTGAGAAAGATGCTGAAGGGAGAGTATGGAGGAAAGCATCAGGGATGACTCCGTGTCTGGCCTGACCAAACGAGTGCACAGAGCTGACATCTGTTTGGTTAAAACAAGGAACACAGAAGGTGCCAAGTACAGGGATGCAAAGATGGTTCAACATCCGCAAATCAATCCATCAGTGTGATCCAGCACATGAACAAAAGGAAGATGGGTAAAAGCCATCTGGTCATCTCAACAGATGCTGAAAAAGCATCTGACAAAACTCAGCATCCATTGGTGATAAACTCGCTCAAGAAGCGGGAATAGTTGGAATGTACTTCAGCATAATAAAGGCCATAGATCACAAGCCTACAGCTAACATCATAATGGTGAAAAGCTTAAAGCTTTTCCTCTTGATGCCGGAGTTCTTGTTCATGAAGCCGACGAATGAGCTTCACAAACAGTCAAGGTAGGAGAGCAAGGTACAGGCTTTTATATAGAGACAAAGTGACAGAACAGAGCTCCCGGCTCATGCCAGGAGGGGACAAGAGAGTCCATGGTGGCGCGTTGTCTAGGGGATTTATAGGCAGTTGAGAGACCAAGAGTTAGGGAGGTGGATCCACCAGATGGTCTCTAAGTGTTTATTTTTAAAGAGAAACTAAGTTTCTTACCGGTTTCTCAGACTATTTTGCGGAGTTAAGAAATTTACTGTTTTAAAACAGCAGCGGAATTACAGAACCCAAAAATGGACTAACAGGTACCAAAGGGAAAGGAACTGGGGAGGAAGGGTGGGCAGGGAGGGATAAGGGGAGGGGAAGAAGAAGGGGGGTATTAAGATTAGCATGCATGGGGGGGAGGGAGAAAGGGGAGGGTGGGCTGCACAACACAGAGAGGACAAGTAGTGACTCTACCACATTTTGCTAAGCTGATGGACAGTAACCGTAATGTGGTTGTTAGGGGGGACCTGATATAGGGGAGAGCATAGTAAACATAGTATTCTTCAGGTAAGTGTAGATTAAAAATTTAAAAAAAAAAAAGAAAGAAAGAAAGAAAAGGGGGATTACTCCTTAACAGGATAAAACTATTGGTAAATCAAAGATCAACACATGCTTTAAATATCCTTAATGTTGATCACTTAAAGGGTGTCAGATGATCAGCTATGGAGGTACTCTTTTCTGATAATATTCCTTTCTCTTATTAAAAAAAAAAAAAAAAAGCAGTTACTGTGTGCTGACCTCCAATGAGTTCTGCACAGTGGTATAGAGGGCATGTCAAAGTGTGGGCAAAGGGTCTGTTTGTTTCTACGCAGAAGATCAAGGCCTAGCTTGGATACCCAGAAAATGAACTAAGATACGATATGAGGAGGAGCTTCCGGCATCAGCACTCTCTGGAGGACTCGTGCCGGGGGATGATCATCAAAAAGCCTCCACAGGGATCCGGACGATGCTGCGGTTGTGGCTGCATCCAGCCCACCGTCTCCTGGACTTGCCATAAGAAGGAGGAGGGAGATGTCTAGGCTGGCATGTGCATACAGTGAGACAACGAATTTGACTGGATCTGTACTGTTGGAACTCAACCAGGAGTTGGGAGGGGTGCAAGTTGTAGCACCCCAAAATCTCATGACTATAGACTATCTATGGTTAAAAGAACATATGGGATGTGAACAGATCCCAGAAATGGGCTGCTTTAATTTGTCTGATGGTTCAAGTACAGTTGGAAAATATCCATCATATCATAGATAAATTTTCACAAATGCCTAGGGTGCCTAAATGGTTTTCTTGGCTTCACTGGAGATGGCTGGTAATTATAGATTTGCTTTGTTTATGTCACCGTATTCCTATTATGTTAATATGTGTGTGCAAATTAGTTAGTAGTTTAAAACCTATACATACTTAAGGTACTATACAAGAAGATATGTCAAAGAAATAATCAATCCTCCCAAGTTTCCTTCATATGCTACATCTATAGCTTTTCTTCTTCCTTCCTAATTACAACCCTTAAATAGAATTCGTGCCTCATATCGAATTTACCGAGTATCATAATTCCTCCAGGTGGTAAAGATACCTCGAGACAAGTGCTGGGCATAGAAGCCACAGGGCATAAATCTGCAAAGAAGTAAAAAGCTAACCTTTGCAAACAATATGGCTTCTCTCTCACTTACCAACTTTACATTTCCCTGTATGGCCCCGGAAGATGACTGGTTAGCCAGAGACGGGTAAGATTCCTCAAGGGAGGAACAACCTAAGACAGGCACAGTCGCAGGGGGGCCATCAGGTGAGAATTTGGGGATCAACAGAGGTGAGGCTCAGAACCTCACCCCCCCTGCTTTGAGAGAAATCTTCTGCATCCGTGGATGTCTTGCTGCCCTTGTCTAGCCTGGATTAATACTTAGTCCATAGGCACACACCTGATCATCTGATCATCTACATTTGCCTTCTTACAGCACTAAACTATGTTTTCTACCTTTATCTTGCATCTACCTACCACTTCAGCATTTTATTAAAAATAAAAATAATAATAATAATAGGAGAAATGTGGGATCAACATATAAATCAAGTACAAAAATCAAACGAATATTCATATTTGACCTGATTGTTTATAGGTCATAATGCATGATCAAAACCGAAAGTTTCTGTGATGAATGCCCTTGTACTGTTCACCATGTAAGAATTTATTCACTATGTAAGAATTCGTTCACCATGTAAGAACTTGTTCGTTATGCTTCAGAAGATTGGAGACTGACGAGAATTAGGCTTGAGATGGATTAATGATTGTGCATTGAGCATTGACCACCCTATACAGAATTTTATTGTTGTTAACAACCATTTGATCAATAAATATGAGAGATGGCCTCTCAAAAAAAAAAAAAGAAATTTACTGTTTTGATCCTTTCTCAGAATAGCAGTTTCCTGGTTTGGGAGCACATCAGTCAAGACTGCTTGTTTTGCTTTCAAGGTGAGCTGAGTTACTGACTTGATTAGGGCTAGAGGAGGAAAAGCAGCATCTGGGTAAAGTTAAAGATAAACTGGGCCTTTTAGCAGGCTGACGTACATTTTACAAGAGCCTCATTTAATTGACACAAACAAGACATGGGCTATGCTGAGGTATTTTCTTATCTGGGGGATGTTCAAACATTCCAGGCCAGGTTATTCCTCACTTTTTAGTTTTACCTAATCTTTCTTGAAGAATGCTTATATTCCTAGTTTGACATTTTACTTTAGAGAATTAATGTGACTCTGTCTTTGTTTAATTGTCTAATATGCAGTTTTGGTAGGGGTCTTTTTCCGGAGGCCCTCACCCTACTCTGACTACACCCATGGTCCCAGTCTCACTCTCACCTCACGAACAAGACAAGGCTGCCATTCTTGCAGCTTATATTCAACATACTACTGGAAGTCCTAGTCAGGGCACTGAGGCAAGAAAATGAAATAAAAGGAATCTATGTTGGAAAGAGAAGTAAAGGTGTCATTATTTGCAGATGATATAATAATATATATCAAAAGCCTTTACAACTCCATCAAAACACTGTTAGAACTAGTCAACAAATTCAGTAAAGTTGCAGGTTTAAAAAATCAATATAAAAAATCTGCTGTACTTCTATACACTAATACACTAATAACAAACTATCACAAAGTTTAAAAACAATACCATTTAAAATTGCATTGAAAATAATAAATCAAAAAAGTATGGTACTGTCAGAAAAACACAGTAGTTCAACAGAAGAGAGAGCCCAGAAATAAATGCAGGCATTCATGGTTAATCAACCCACAATAAAGGAGGCGAGAATACACAGTGGGAGGAGACAGGCTCTTCGATGAACAGACAGCCACAAACAAAAGAATGAAACTGGACCACTTTACTATACCATACACAAAAACAAACCTGAAATGGACTGAAGACCTAAATGAAGGACATTACATCATAAAGCTCTAAAAGAGAACATAGGTAGTAAACTATTGGACATCAACTTTAGTAATTTTTTTCTGCATATGTCTCCCCAGGTGACAGAAACAAAAGCAAAAATAAACATTTGAGACTACATAAAATTAAAAAGTTCCTGCCCATAAAGGAAACCATAAACAAAACAAAAAGGCAATCTTTTTGTATGGAAGAATTATTTGTAAATGACACATCTGAAAAAGGGTAATATCCAAAATCTATAAAGAACTCATACAACTTAACCCCTCAAAAAGCAATTTGGTTAAAATGGGCAGAGAAACTGAATAGATATTTTTCCAAAGAAGACATACAGATGGCCAAGAGGCACATGAAAAGATGCTCAATATCACTTATCACCAGGGACATGCAAATCAAAACCACAATTAAGATTATCATGTCACACCAGTCAGAATGGCCACTATCCAAAAGACAAGAAGTAACAACTGTTGGCGAGGATGTGGAGAAAAGCGAGCCCCCCTGCACTGTTGGTAGGGATGGCAGTTCGTGCAGCCACTGTGGAAAGCAGTATGGAGGTTGTTTAACAAATTGAAAACAGAACTACCCTATGATCCATCAATTCCAATTCTGGGTATTTATCTGAAGGAAATAAAAACAGTAACTCAAAAAGGTATCAGCATCCCCATGTCCATCACAGCATTATTTACGACAGCCAAGATGTGGGACCAAACTAAATGACCCATCAGAGAATCAATGGATAAAGAACGTGTGGTGTATTTATACAATGGAGTATTGGCCAAAAAAGAATGACAATCTTGCCACTTACAAAATGGACAGACGCTGAGGACACATGTAAATGAATTAAGTCAGAGAAAGACAAATACCTTATGATCTTACTTATATGTGGAATCTTAAAAAAAAAAAAAAAGGACTCACAGATACAAAGAACAGATTTGTGGTTACCAGAGGCAAGAAAGGTCGGGGGAGGGGGAGCGAAATGGGTGAAGGGAGTCAAAAGGTACAAATTTTCCAGTGATAAAGTCAGTCAGTCCTGGGAATATAATTACAGCTTGGTGACTATACTTAACAATACTGTACTGCTTATTTGAAAGTTGCTACAAGAGTAATCTTAAAAGTTCTCATCACATGAAAAAATTTTTTGTAACTGTGTGGTAATGAGTACTAAATAGACTTACTGAAGTGATCATTTGGCAACGTATCAAACCATTAGTTATACACGTGAAGCTAATACGTTATACGTCAATTATACCTCAAGAAAAAAACAAACAAAAAACAGAAAAAAGGCTTGTTGCAAAATAACCCACTAATGGGTTAAACATAGTTTTGGAAGGATTCTTCTTAATCTTGAATTTTGAATAAACATGATTTAGCAATTAAAAAATAAATCTCCCCCCCTCGAGGAAACCTGCCTTGGGATGAAGGTGACACTATGAATGATGGAGCAAAGACAGAGATGGAAAGATCTGGTTCTCTGATGGCA